GCTGCTGGCCGGGAACGGAGGGCCGGGGCGCGGGAGGAAGCGCCCAGGCCTGGGACATGACTCCGGTGACCTGACAAACCGCCGGCCACCAGGGGTCCCGGGGACCTGGCCGGCAGTTCGGGGGCGCTCACTAGAGAAGCGCGAGTCACCAGAGACCCTGTGCCTGGTGGTGTGTGGGGAGGGGCGCCCAGCTGGCCGGAGGAGTGTTGACCCCCTCCGCGGTGCCCCTGCACTTGGGAAAGAAGCCCCTGGCTCGCAACTTTATGCTTTGAGGAGGCCCTAATTAATCCGGCGGGAGTGGGGATTAAGTGGCGGTTTTGCGCACTGACACCCAGGAGGCCGCTGCGCTCAGAGGAGCCACTGGCGGGAACCGCGCCCGGGCGAGAGGCGGCTCCCCGCCAGCGGCGCCACGGAACACGCCCCTCACCTGGACTCACCCTTGCTAGATGCTGGGCCTACTCTGCGCCCTTCCCGAGACGGCTCCGTCTCCCTGGCTTGTCTCACGTTCCGCATTCGAGAATTTACTCCCACCCTGCTCCCCGACCCCAGCTGAGTTCTCCCATCCTGTCCTTGGACCCGGCCCAGCTCATCCCTTGGCAAAGTGGACAAGGAAATTGTCGGTGACTTGGGTTTTTCTGCCTTTGAATGACCAGTTCTTTTAAGAAAATAGTTAGTTCCAGTTTCTCTCCCTGACTTTCCAGGCTCTGGTCTAATTACTGCCTGCAACATCCTCAATGCCAGGACAAGATAGTGGGCAGTAAGGCTGCAAAGCTCAGTAGAGGCTGGAGTTTCTAAGGGCCCCTCCTCACGAAGTTATTTTTGTAAGATGCACCCAACACAGAAATGACTGAAACCACCCCAATCTTGAGACATTAGGAAAGCATTTCTCCGTTTCCTCCACCCTGCTCTTAAATAACTAAATGATTAATATAGCTCTTCTTTCTTGCCAATTTGGAGACTTTCTCTGTGTTTTGCTTTTCATCTAGAATTGATTTTTCTGTTTTCTAACACAACCCCTTTGGTAATCTGCTTTAAGCGAACCTTTTGAAGGCATCTGAAATAACGTGCATTTCTGACACTTGGGGTTGTATTTCATAGAAAAAAAATCCAAGGAAAGATAAAATTCTTTCATTTTCTGCCTGGTATGCTGTTGGTACTTACAAGGTCTCCAATTAGAAGTAATTCTTGAAGTTCATAAGAATATTAGTAAAATTGTTGTGCTTTGTTGTCAAAAAGGGAACTGCTTTATGACTTAAGTTAGCCAAATTACAAAATGCAGGCAGGGACTCAGGTTAAGGGCCTGCTTAAACTCCAGAGGCTAAAAATACTCCAATTTGAATTCCTAATGTTAGAGCTACAGATGGGGGGGGGTGCTGGTTAGTTTGGGTTTTTCATTTTTTAAATACTTAAATTCTTAGTTTAAAACTAAAATACAGGTTTGGTTCACTGTGCAAAGATTTGTGTAGTGAAATAAAGTGGCCTTTACTCAATCTGATAGAATTTTGCTAGAAGGGATATTTGAGATCATTTAGCCAAACCCTCTCCCTTTCCTCCCCAATTTCTTGTTTCTCTTTTTAAACAAATGTGGCAAATGAGCCCCAGAGAGAGTACGGTTTTTCTGGGTGACTTGGATATTGAGTTACAGTCTGGACCAGAATCCAGGGCTCCCTCCCTACTATATTATGTGACCTCATGTATGATAAAAATAAAATAGTGCAACACACAGTCAGTTTATTTAAACCAAATTTCAGAGTGATAAAGGTTAAATACAGTTTTTTAAACAGCATATTCCTAATCCCGAAATTGGATCACATCCCATCAGATCTGTCCATCACCATGCATTCAGTTTCAATTCAAAATATCACACTTCCTTGAGAATAAGGATGCTGTGGAAGATTTTAAACTCTTGACATCAAAAGTTCAATTTTGTATACAAGTATATGCTCACTGTTGGCCCAACATGCCACCTTAACATATTTTGCCATTGAGGATAATGATGAGCTGTTTTAACTGAAGAAATTTTCATATTAGACATGTTTGCAAGTTCTTGTTTAGAATATGTAACTATCAGTCCATCCAAAAACATTCTTGTCCTTTGAATAATGGTTATGGACAGTATCAATATTTTAATTTCTTTGCAGTATTAAGTAGGATGTGATCGTTATGTTGAAAATGATCTGCTTACAAGTTGCCCTCCCCCTTCAGACTGTAAACTCCTTGAGGGCAGGGACTGTTTCTTGGTCTTTGTATATCCAGCTCCTGTCACAGTCTTTGGCATAAGTAATGCTGAGTTAAACATTTATATAGGGAATGGCACCATCAGTGGGAGAAGTAAAAGGTTTTTAAGAGGAACTTGGCTGGGACACTTCTTTCTCTCTGCTTCTCTTTCTTCCCTTCACACAGCTGGGGCTGCAGACACATCCTGGTCTGGCCATGAGCTCACAGCTCTAGGAATCAAGCAGCTCACAGTGGGTGGCCCTCCACTGAGGAAGGCGGGACCACTTCGTCCAGCCTTCTGGAAACTAATAATACCAGAGGCCAAGCAGCCAGGGAATGTAATAGAGCAGTGGTTTTCAGTGGTCCTCCTGTAGCATCACCTGGGAACCTGTTAAGAAGTGTAAATTCCCAGCTCCACCTCAAACCTACTGCACCAGAAACCCTGCGAGTGAGCCCAGCAATCTGCTTTAACAACCCCCCTGCCCCGAGGGATTCTGATGCACACGGAAGTGTGAGAACCGCTGTGGTAGAGGCTTGTTAATAATTGCTGCTACAGCTTGAATTCACTATTCTCAGTAACAACTTGTTCTGGATGTGATGTCAACATTTTCCCCCCAAAAAAGAGGAAGCCCATTAACTCCAAAAAAGTCAGAGGTCAGAGACTTAGACGGGAAAAATTAGCAGCTGTGCTAAAAGTCACCATATGACTTTAAAATAGATCGAGGGTTTGTTTACCCTTTCCAACCCCCGACAAGATGATGTTAACAACCATCAGTGTGGCATGAGATGATGATTTGGTAACCAACACACTTTCCTAAACAACACTTGATTGAATACTCAAATCAGAAGGTAACTGGAGCCAAATTTCCTGTGTGGATGCCACATGCTAAGAGGCCCTTTGATAAGTCAGGGAATGCCCAAAATGACCAGCCAGAAAGAGATGCGGTCTGGAAACATTTGTCCTCCTGGAGAAAGGTGAAGCAGCTGGAGATTTTAGACTAAGAGGAAAGAACCCTCTGGTGGGTTAAATAATTGCTGTTTTCAACTTTCTGAAGGGCAAGAGGGACAGAAGGCAGGCCCAGGACCAGTAAGTTGAAGTTACAAAGAAAAATTTTGCCAGAGCATAAACAAGAACCTTCTAGCAATATAGAACCTTGAAAGAAAACATACAAGTAGAAGTAGAACGTGCCAGGCCATAAGAAGAGTTACCTGAAGCTGGAGGAAGATAGGGAACTCATCCAAGGTGACACGATTTAGCAGACCCTGTCAGAGCCCCGCCCATATCCCCTCCACCCCTTTACCATTTCTGCGCACATCAGTCCCAGTGGCTTTGCTCCCAGCAGCCAGCACCATGTCCCTCTGTGGGCCGGCGCCCTGGGGCTGCTGGAGCCCACCTTGCCTGTGCACAGGAAGAGAGGCAGAAGTGCCTGCAAACTTACATCTCCCACGGGCTACCCTTGACCAGCGACTGACTGACAGCTAGAGGGCAGCTCCCTCTCCAGGCCCACACTGGAAATTCCTCCAGTCACTCACACCTGTTGAAGGAGTTGCAGCGCTTGGGACTTAAGATGCTTTTTTTAAACCAATGCTTTTCTATAGAAATATTCTATTCTTTCCTGAACTTTTCCTGTGTCTGACACATGGCCAATATGTCAACTGTGCCATTTCTGCTGTTTTCAGAATCTCTCTCTAACGATGGTGGTCAGTGACTAACGGAAAGATTCCACACGAGATCTCGCCAGCACTGGGAAACCTACAGGAAAGATAGTTCGCTCTCACCTGCTTTTAATTGTCTTAAAGATATTAGTGATCTTAACAGCCTGAAAAATCTTGTCGCATTTGTCCATTTGTTAAGAAAGATTCTGCAACAGTATCTGCTAAGAGTTACCTATATAGTCATGGGCAGGAAACGGCC